TAAGGAAAAGTGGCAGAATTTTGCAAAGTGCTACTCTTATATAGGGATACGGCCGTGGAGGTTTGATGATGGTGATGATATGTGGCTTGATCTTCTTTTGACATTTGCTTAAACCTTATGCATCTTATGGTGACTAAGCACCCTTAAGGCTTGACAAGTTGCAACATTTGATTGGCTAAAACCTTTTCCTTAAGCTTAAGGAACACTTACGGAATTTAAGAAAATTAGGGCAAAATCACTAATCTCACGGCTATAGTACAATTAGGGCTAATCATAGTGATTAAATTTAATTAACCACTCAATCTATGTTTAATTATTAAATTAAACATAATACTTAATTACCAAAATTATTTCGGACGTAAACGGTACGCCGAAAATAAATTTCGGTAATCCGACTGAACTTAATTAATTCCGAAAATAATAAACGATAACGTTACTATATCGGAATTAAACGTAAGTTATACTGATAATATCTCGGGATATTACAAGAAGACCCAATTCATTTATTGTGGGTTGTTGAATATGCCAACTACTACTTTCTCCCTCTAGAATCTGTAATAAATTCCCGTAATTACTCTCAACTGTAACAAGAGTGCCGACCTCGTCACCAGAGGCAGAACTCGTAATAACTGTTATTTTAATCATATTTCTCCCTTATTTTCTCTTTCCTACTTTTACCAAATTCAATCTTAACTGTTGATCGGATTCGTCCACCAACAATAATGAATAATATAATTTTTATACAATTTTATTATTGCATTGATAATAAATATAAAAGTATCACCAAAGTAAAAAATATAATTTTAAACTGGACAACATAAATCTTATATACCACATAGATTGATATTTTTCAAAATTATCTAACAAATTACATGTATACTATATTTATATAAAAAATAAATGTACATTTAGAGTATTTCAACTAATAATTTTTCACTTATAATTAAATGCTTATATGGATGTTATTTTACTTTAAATATTTGGATAATATTAACTATCATAATCACTTGTTACAGGTTAATAAGAATGTATTCTTAAGACATAAAAATAATTTTACTTATCAAATCAACAAAAATTGCAATTATATTAATTTTCAAGTCATACTGTTACAAATATTAGTTACAAACTTAGAGATATAAATACAAATAATATGATATGTGAAACTTACTGAACATAACTAAAAAAATGGGCAGGAAAAGTAGAATGTTGATGGAAAAGTCACTCTGGGCCCAGTTCCTGCGTGGAAAGTACTGCCTTAGAGGTGTCTATGGTTGTCACCCCTGTTGGTGACGACCACTAATTGGGACAATAGGCAGTGAAAGCAACTCACCATAGTAGATAGGCGTGCTCAGGAGCATATCTTCTGGACGTTGAGTGAGGGGGATGTTAGCTTTTAGGATGAGTGGTGGGTTGGTGAAGGGCCCCTTTTGATCACTAGACAGATCACCCACTCCCCTTGCTTATGGGTGAAGGATTTGGACCAATGGGACGTGGGATAGGGATAGCTTAGATAGGGTTTTGGGTACTATAGCGGGCTTTAGTGACCACTTTTTAGAGCAAATCCAACAGATTCCATTCTTGGAGGACATTTTGGACGATATGAGGTAAAAACTTACATCTCCGGGTGCTTTCTCTACATCCTCGGCTTGGGGGTAGTTCGGCAGGGTGACCATCCTAACCTTCTCTTCGGGGCTATTTGGACCGACCTCTTACCCCGACCATCTCTGTGTTCCTTTGGCGCCGGCTATTGCGTCGGATTCTGATTGACTCTGTGGTGCAGGTGAGGGGGGGTCGCTTTGCTCTCGCATTGTTACTGTTGTACCGAGACCGATGGTTTCCAGACTGAGACTTTTTCCCATATGTTTTTAGAGAGTGAGGTTGTAAGGAGAGTGTGGGAGTATTTTGTC